CAACACCATAGAGCGATCCACGGCGGTAAATATATAAGCTATTGCGAGAGAGGTTCAGACTGTTGTTGGGGATAATAGTGGCAGGCGTGGTTCGTCGCTGGACTATGCGTGGCTGCTCTTGTTGGGGTTCAGTAACTGGCTTTGGGTTATGAATAACCACCGGCGCAGTCTGTCTCCGAGTGGTGAGCACAAGGCCCTTGTCGAGAGCATTGAGCAAATCATTCACCACTTGACAGTCACGGGGAATCTGAACCTGGATATAACGGCCATATTCACGGTCAACCAAGGAGTAGGGTTGTCCGCACTTCTGGTACACGTATTGCAATAGGCTAGTCGCATAGAGGTTTCCACGGCCGCAAAGGGACCTCCCACTGCAGAAGGTTTCGTACGGGCGACTGCAGGCGGGGCAGCGGAGAGCATGTTGCGAGTATCTCTCCATCACATATTTTTCGTCATCTCGCGGGGCACGAGAGAGGATGGGGCGCTCGGCACCAATTTCGCGAATGACGGAAGGCATCGTATAACGTCGACGCGGAGGGATGTAGTTGTGGGAGAAGGTAGTTGGATTGAGAGTAAGGTGGGGGAGGTGGTAAGCGGGAAGGGGGTACCGAGGAGAAGACACTGTGACAAGCACCCTGGCAAGGAAATGCTGCGATGTAGAAGGAAAAAAAGAAGACGGTTGATATGAGGAGGAAAAGAGAAAGTATCAACGGGGAAACCGGAGACTTATATGTCGTTTGGTAGATATGTCATGGATTGGTGTGTATGATTGGAGAAGAGGAGAGAGGCAGAGGATACCGATATAGATATAACTGCCAAAACGCACTGACCAGCGACGCCTGTAATCTAGAGTAACAAGCACAGGGTCATTGACCGGGAGGGAGCTAAGTGTAACGCTAAATGGACGGCGTGTGGGCCGGGGCGGGTGCCTTGGGAAAAAAACGGCCGAATACCAATGCCTGACAGCATACCGTATCTAAAACGCCATACGGGCACCAAAATCATCGTGTATCACGGCATACGCTGATAACGTATTGTAAAAATACACAGGCAGCACTGCCTGCAGCCCCAAAGGGCGTGATCCAGATCGAAGTTTATTCTTCACGCTGGTCTGCTTCGGGCAAGTTACTCAACGCGGCGCAGGAACTGCTGTGGCTGACTCCAGTACTCGCCTGATGAGTGGTCGTATCCTTAGCAAAGAGGGGATGCGACGGCGGCATTTCCTGCCGCCGCTTCCTCTGTCAGGAGCCGGGAGCAAATGGTGGGGGACAGTATGAGTTTCCGAAGAGCACGGCTGATGATCCCGATGGCCAAATAATAACAGGAATCTCAATTTCGACCAATCTGACCCCCCAAAACTAGCCAGCTGCGTACGCGACAGATCCCTTCCCTGTCAACAGGAGGTTATATTTTTGAATAAAGTCAGATGTGTGTAGTTTGAGAGTGAACATGACACGGGTTGCCAGACTCCTGCTGTCGGCATGCATCTGTCATCTGGACAAAATATTCACCTTGTCCAATCAGCCCACGCAGTGAAAAGAAGCGAGTGTATGAGTCAACAAAGCATCTCCAACGGTTAGCCTTGGCTGCATGACCGGAAAATAGTTTCCCCCACCCTCTTACCCTCCCTTCTATATATGGCATGTCGAACAAGCAGGGAGACGAGGCCGTGCAATTAAGAGCACTAACACCAAACACGAAACAAACAACCACTAGCATGACTTCACGCTTTGCTTTGGCACGATCGTCTGTGGCTTGCGCACAATCCTACGAGCAGGGGTTGGCTCAAGTGGGTGCACCGCCTCAGTTCGTGTTCGACTGCGGCCATAATGCCACAGATCAGGAACGACGAACTCCTGAAGGAAAGTTGAGTAATGGAGGGAAGGCCTCTGGCAGTTTGATTAATGTCCATGCTGATGCATGGAAAGTGGTGTTTCCTTGCCAAGTCGCGAGAGATTGTGTTCCCTGCGCTTACACGGTAAATTTTAACCCCACACGACAAATGAACAGACGTCATCTCGAAGCCAGCCATGTACAATCGCGGAATATTGTTCGCTGCGTCAAATCACTCTCACCATTGATCACACGGGCCTTTCGTTATCTGCCCCTTGCTTCTGGCAAGCTGTTGTGTTGACATCATTGTTGGAGGTGTATGTTGGGGGTTTCCAGGGTTCAGCAGCGGCTAATGATGTCATTACCGAACCCTGATGTCAATAAAGGTAAACGCCTAACCCAAACAGGCCTAGTTCGACAGGGCTGTTCATTGTCCGATCAGCCTCACCAGGCGCTATTCCCAATCAGTAAGCTCACTCAACCGCCAGCGTCAGTTTCTTCCTTGGGCACTTTCAACCACAACATCTTCGTGCAATCCCGGTAGATTTTCCAAGCTACGACGTCGTGCTGCACTCGCTGTTGCGCCAACTTCTATTTTCATACACTGAGGGAGATTGGGCTGGTTGGAGGTCGGCCAAACCTAGCGTTTCTCTCAAGAGGACTCTTCCCTCTCTCCCATCTCCAGTCTCCCTTCAGTCCACTGACCGGGACAGGAACCTCTGGCATCAATCATAGGGCGATGTCCTTGAATGCGATTACGTAGCATTTTTGTTTGAATTCCCAAATGCTCTATTCTCCTTCATTATAATTCCCCCTCAGGATCGATGTCGCGCCGATGACGTCTCCGTTTTTTTCCCAACACCCTAAAATGGATGTTGGCCATTCGCTTTTCCATCTTTAATCTCCTTTCTCTCATCTTCCTCCCCGCTATTTCTCCGGGGCTGTGCGGAATAGATCTCTATTTTCTTGTCTTCTTGTCTCAATCGTCGCAGCTTGGGCATCTACATGGTTTCGCTGGACTTGGGACCCTGGCTCAACAAATCAATTTTCCCTGTATTATTATTTAATGCCCTTTTTCACTTCCGCCACTCACGCCGTGAGCGTCTAATTGTCAGTGATTTTGAACGTTCCCATTACTGGCCGAGGGGCTTGGCTATGTTTTGTGATTACTGGGAACGTCCATTCAGAGTTTTACCCGCCCATTACATTACCGACTGAATACTACCTTTCCGGAGGGTGGGGGTGTTTGGAATATGCCCTGTGACGAGGAGATAGGGCAAGAGTTGGCTCCAGTTGCCTATCCACTGCCAATTTGCCACTGCTTTGACTTTGACATGGGCAACACTCGGGCCCAAAATTACAGTGCTAGATTTTGGGGTTCTTCAGCTCGCCCCAGACCACCAGACATCCAAGTCCCCTTTGTTCCCACTCGTCTATCTCTCCACATTCCCTTAGGCAGAATCCGTATACCTCATATGGAACCGCAATAGCGTTATCAAAGAATTTTGTGTCAGCTGAGTTTGGTTTCCGGTTCAGCTCCGGCTCCCTTGCTGCCTCCCGGCGAACACCCCCTGTGGACATACATGTTGTTTATCACTAGGACCTATCGTACCGAGTATAAATGACGGAGTGTGTATACCTGCAAAGCGGTCACTCAGTATCAACAAGTTGTCGATCGGTTCTTCGCTGCTAGCGTCCTATTCAAAAACTATGGTAACATCTACCTGCCTTGCCCACCCCCCATGGTTCCTTCTCATCCGTAATACTACGTCAAATACTACGTCAAAGTTGTTTGAAGATTCATTTCGTGACGAGCGAAGGAATCCATACTTCATTGCATTCCGCAATGCGACTCCTCATGTATAGGGATATTGGGCATTTCCCCACAGTTATTACCACCACTGGTGCTTAGGGTAAGTCGTGACGCATGATCTATGAGACTAGCAGAACGAATCGCCTCTTCACCACCGTTAGGCTCCCATTACAGTGAGAATACGCAGGATCATGACGGCACCCCACCTCCGGTTATCTCCCTCTATCGGTTTCTCTTCGCAAGCGCCCGTGAGACCTTTTCCTTCCTTCGACTAGCACCAGATGTGAAAGCTCTTGGGTTTGTCAATACCCGTATATCAAATCTTGCATACAATAATTATTTGCCACCTTATCTCTATGGCTGTCTGCTCCTTAGGTAATAATGGAGATCATCACTCTTCAAATCGGGATACGGATGCCGCCATCAGGAGTGTAGGTCCCAAGACTGCCAACCTGTCCCCTTGGATGCCTCGCTTGCTGCTCCTTCCATGTCTTACATTTTCTGGATAGCACCCCCTGTTTTTGCTGTAACGAATCTTTCTTGATCTCTAATTGGGAGATCAGTTCCGTTTCTCCTCAACCCCTGTCGCTGTTTTGTTCAAACAGCTCTTCCTCTTATTGTATACATCAGCATCCACCACAGCAGAACAGCGGACCGTCACATGCGGGACGCACATACATTACACAGACAGGCGTGGCTGCTTCTTAATGTTAATGATGTGAGACGTAACCTTTTTGGCTCCGCATAACGTCTTACAGGAATATCCCGCGCCTGGATTTAAATACCCGTATTTTTCAATTTTGCATACCCACGCCTGCTATAAATAGTGCGGACCACATACTCGATACCTATAGGGGTCCATCCCTTACGTCTAGAATAAAATCTCGCCGACTTATTTTATGCCATCGCCCCATGACCTTGAGCCAATCCTCCGTATATCCCTTGTTGGCAATTACCCCTCCTCGCTAGGTGCATTTGGGCCATAGCAGTTTGTTATCACACACGGATATGGCTGTGAATTCATAATTGCCATCGACCCTATGCCAGGATAGGTTCCTATAGGACGCAATACACAACACGTGTGTGATGCTAACCTCGGCCACAGAGTCACTAACCAACAATGAACAAGCCTATATTATTCCTAATCAATGATTGAGAAGGTTGAGAAGGATCTCAGCTTGCCCTTCGACAAATGGGATGTGAGGGGATACAACTTTTGACTTCGGGGTTCGCCTGACGATATCAACAGCAGGGTGAGTGGTAACTTCTCGCGGATGTCTACCCAGGAATACCGACAGCAAATTTAGCTGCACATGGCCCTAGTGGCAATTGTCCATATATGTGTGCTGTTATCATGATGCCAAAACCTCCGGCTGTAAGTTAAGCAGCATCATTGGATGGTTTGAAGAAATTTAATGTATGACTCTCCATTTGGAATTATTGGTTTGCTGAAGCTTTCATATGATGTGTACATATGTATTTAAAGCTTCATAAGCATTGCAGATATAAATGAAATGTCTATACTCAAATGTCCAGGTGTAATGCAGTGCTGAATGATCATGATTGCCTCTGAAATTTTTTTTTTTTTCGATAGTTTTTGGTGTAGCTGGAATATGGGTATCAAAATCCTTTTTATCCTATTTCAATATCAGCTTTAAAGGGAGATAATACTATATGAGAGGCGTTAGATGTATAGCGGTGGGCGATTTGCAGGCGAATATTTGAAACTGACGATGAACGCTGGTTGTTGGGTGGTGAGTCTTGAGGCTATAGTTAACTTTGATATTCAAGGCTCAGAACTAAAAACAATGGCCTTAACATCAACATCAGCAGATCCGCAGATAATCGCTTGGAACATGGGAGAAGTCAAAAGCTAGATACTATGGTATACCTTCTCCATTTCTAAATTAGTCCATTTTGGTCAAGAACGCTCGGAGCATAGTATATAAAAAACTATTCAAGACTCCCAATAGTTGCTCGCTCGTCGTTTTCGAGTTAACTTTCGTCCTTCCGCACAATGACCAGTGTTCATGTTGATACTATGAAAAGGGATGGCACCGAAAGAAGTGCGGACATAGATCTTCGCATGCCAATATGCCACGGTGTTGACATCGAAGGGCTTTCTATCCCTCAACTGCAACAATGTCTCGAAAGCAGAAAATTTTCTGTTTATGATCTGACAGAGTGCTACTTGGAAAGAATCAGACGCATTAACGGAGTTTTAAAGTAAGTTTTCCGTTAGAACAGAGAGTATGAGTAGCGGGTTTACACGCTATATTCAACTCATTGAGCTAACCGTTGTCGAATATAGAGCTGTGATTGAAATCAACCCTGATGCTTTAGATATTGCTGCTAGGATGGACTGTGAGCGGAACCAGGGGAAATATCACGGCCCGCTTCACGGAATCCCATTCCTTGTTAAGGATGTATGTTTTTTTTACCCATCTCCGTAATTTCCAGGAAGCAAGCGCAAATTGTTCTATTCCTCTGTATCTATTTTATCCGCAAGAGACAGTGCAGACCTAATGACTTCCAGATTATGTCTACCAAGGACAAAATGCAAACGACCGCCGGTTCTTCTGGTACGTCAAAGTTTTATCTCATTTTGCATACCAAACCTCTTATTCCTACAATGATAATATAGTGTTGCGAGGGACAGTGGTCCCAGAGGATGCACATGTCGTATGTCTCCTTAGGAGAGCTGGAGCCGTTTTACTGGGACATGCAAACTTGTCTGAGTGAGCATCGATGAGGTCGACATACTAGTGAGTAGAAACCGAGCCCCTGTTCCTACAATGCTTCTAGATACTTTACTAACCATCGTGAAGTTCTGAAGGATATTCTTCTCGAGGCGGTCAATGCCGGAACCCATATTTATAACCTTGCCGAGCATCCAGGTGGTTCCAGTTGTGGCAGTGCGGTTGCTGTCGCATCAAACATGTGTGCTTTCAGTCTGGGCACTAAGACTGATGGGAGCGTTAGTATCCCGCTATTCCCATCCGAGTAAGGTGATGATTGAAGGTACTGATGATCACTCAATTCAGATAATGATGCCCGCCGACCCGCAGTGGAATCGTTGGCATTAAGCCAACGGTTTGGATTGACAAATGGGAAGGGCGTTATTCCAGAATCAAGGAGTCTTGATAGTGTTGGGACGTTGGGAAAGACGGTACTGGATGCTGCAATTGCTTTAGATGGCATCGTTGATTCGTCCGCTATCCCGCCTTGTACCCGTAAGTCTCCAATTATTTGGCCGCAATAGGAGTGGAGTAATAGTTACCGGTAATAACCCGACAATTGTCTGGCTACCCTTATTAAAACCACAAGTTCAGAGATGACCTCCCAAATATGCATTTTGCAGCAACTGTTTCTGGGAAAGAGACCCTTCGAGGCGCTCAATTTGGATTACCCTGGAGAGGGGTATGGGAAAAAGCCAGTCAGAACGAAGCAGCTAGAAAGCATTATCAGATCTTTGAACAAGTAATAGAGCGTATAAGGGAAGCCGGAGCAAATGTAATTGAATATACCGATTTCCCTAGTGCAGAAGAAATCATACCTCCTGGTGGATGGGACTGGTAATTTTTTCTCCTATCCCCTTCGTTTGCTTGCTGACTGGCTCGCCCCTATTCTAACGAATAACTCTGAGAAATAGGGACTATCCCACCAAGCAGGGTCACCCAGAGCAATCGCAATTTACAGTAGTGAAAACGGAATTCTACAATGATTTGAAGGCTTACCTTGGCAACCTCGCTTCCAACCCAAACAACATCAGCTGTTTAGATGATATAGTCAAATACAATGAAAGGCACGCAGAGACAGAAGGGGGGCGCCCTGGCGTACATCCCGCATGGCCCTCTGGACAGGACAGCTTCGAAATGAGTTTGGACACCAAGGGCGTCATGGATGACACCTATCGCCATGCCCTGGCGTATATCCGTCGAAAATCCCGCGAAGAAGGTATTGATGCAGCTTTGTCAACAAAGGATGGCAACCAGCTTGATGGGTTGTTGGTTCCCCTTCAAGCTGATGGCGGTGTTGCATGTCAAGTAGCTGCCAAAGCTGGTATTCATTACTCCTCCCTACGTTCCATTGATAAATCAGATTTTGTCTCATTTGACTAATAGACTGTTGTATAGGATATCCCATGATCACGATTCCCGTTGGCATCGCAACCGGTGAGAACGGTAAGCACCACTTATCTCTTTTCTGGTTTATTGCAATAACGACGTAAACAGTCCTTTACTAACGCACATATCGTAGACATTCCATTCGGTATTGGAATGATTCAGACGGCATGGCGGGAAGATAAACTCATCAGATATGGCTCTGTCATTGAGGACCTGCTGGCTCTGAAAGCAAAACCTACCTTTAAGAACATTGATGCCGATAATTATATGTATATTGGGACTCCTGCAAAGTCATAACATCACCCATTATGCTCAATAATATCAGGACAGTTCTAACAGCTGTACTGGGCGTGCTCGGGATGAAAGCTCCCCGTGACGCTCCTAAGTTTATCGGGTATATGAAACAGATGAATTTGAATTTTAGTTCAAAATTAGAAGCGAAAGGACTACAAGGTACAAAATACCACTTGGACATGAATTCTTCGGTGCATTCCCAAAACTGAGGAGCTATTGCTACTCTATTTGGATATAAAAATACAATAAGGTAAAGTATATCTTTAGAAAATAGAAATGAAAAAAGGAACAGGAATGAAAAATAACAGCGAAAAACGGAAAGAGACCGGAGAAGAAATCAATCTATCCATAAAATCTACATTGTACAGAAATTTCAGAAGATTGCCATGACGAAAAACAGGGGGGAGGAGAGGGAGAAGTTGGCCAGTAGAGAAGCTCATGAAATAGAAATGAAGCCCGAAGACGCCATAAGTCATATCTAAAAAAAAAAAAAAAAAATTAATCATTTCGAATTATAGGGTATAACACAGCATCTCCTGTCCCTTGACGGCTGTCATGATATGCCAGGGTAGTGGTGAGTTTCCTTGCGCATGAACGATACCCCTCACCCTCGCTAGAGTTATGAGTTCTCGATACATGCGAAGGATATCCTTCAATAAATGGTCGATTGGTCGCCGTGAATTTGTGTAAATGATATTAACAGCCATTACCGCTTGTCCGTCTGTGTCGCTGACACCTGAACGCCGGAAAAGATACCCGCTTGCTAGAGCGGGTTGGTGCTTCGTGAGGTAATAAGAGTTGTTGAGCCTGTGTGAAAGTGTTACGCCCCAAGTCTCGTCCGATTTGTCAATGAGAATTGTATCTTGGTCTGAGTCGGGAGATGGCTGTTGTGCATGTTGCGGAGGAGTATGCTGGTCCGTGCATGTAGGCGCGTTTGCTGTTGGGGGAGTGGCTGCAGGACCTGACGGATCAGGAGACGGCACGGGTCGAGGCGTAGATCCTGGTGTTGTTGATGGGCCATTCTGTGCGGCCTGCTGGCTTAACGCACTAGGTTGAAGAGGGGATGATGGAAGTTTGAGAGACAGGCCAGGTTTCGTATTAACAGAAATGATGCCTAATTCGACTTTAATGGCTTTGGTGCGATTGTACTGATCCAGAAGGGATGTCCACACTAGAGATACTTGAGTTAGCGAATAATGCATATTGGGTGGCTACGCAGACGGGATATTACTTTCAACCTCTTCTAGATCAACTGGTTCATCTTTTACGACGATCAACCGCCAATGCGATAATGACATATCCATAATGTCCTTTGACGTTTCCCAGATCTGTGTTCGGATTTCTGATATAGGTCTAGATACCGGAGAATCACGTTCCCGAAGACAATACGAAAGAGCGCTTTGGTGCCTTCCACTATTGTCTGTCCATGCTGCGGTTACCCAACGTTGGTCGACACTATGTGAGTAAGCAACATGGAGGGATTTGGCTTCTTCTAACGGTGCCACAGATTCTGCCGCCAGCCTAAATGGCACCACTTTTGGAACTGGATCCGCCAGCACAAGAGGAGGAGAGCATCCCAACCAGTCCGAAGATCTATCCTTCGGCGGGCAGCGGGAATAAACCTCAAGCGCCAAACGGAGGTAATCCGTCTGTGTGGGTACAACTAAGGAGTCGGCGGAGGCGATAAATTCCAATGGGATTATTTGAAGAACAAGCTCACTAAGATGCCGAGTGTGCTGCCTGTCGATATCTCCAACATATTTATGAAATAGTCGTAAAAATGCTGAGCAGATATCTACGATAGCTGCATCATAGATGAAAGGATTTATGATGTATATCACCACATTTTTGTCAGTCGCTGATAGGTTTGATAAAGAGCTTCCTACTTATTGTTAGATAACTGCAGAATTATGCAATGGAGATTACACTCTTACCCAGGTTTTCACACGAGACATTTAGTGCATGCATTAGGGAAGCGTAGTTCTGGTCACTTGCAGCATTTAGACTCCATGGAACTAGTCCGTTGGCCTTGTTTGATCGAGAATGGCTTCCAAAGTTGCCACTGGAATATACCAGGCCTAGCCTCTCGATGAATGCCTCTGCTGCCTCGGTGACATTAGGGGGGTAAATACAAAAAGGTATGATATCCTTTTCTCCTTGGAGCGGCTCGAGTCCAAATGTCTCCCAAAAGCCAATGGCAGATGGTAAGATTTCCAAATAGCTGTTTCCGCGGTGGACTTTAATGTGGGGAGGGCATATCTTGCATATAGAACCGGTAAGATTTGGCCTGATAGAAGGCCCATCTTTCCGCGGATTTGAGCCATCTTCCAAGGTTACGTAAGTTCTCAAATCCAATTTAGACAGATGGCCCATGCCATCAATGTTATCAAATAAACTTCGTGACAGTATATCGTCCCAATCCGCCCATTCCGGTTTGTGTAAATCATCGCGGATATGGCAGAAGCTCGATTGAGTAATTTGGTCAACAACAAGTTGTGCAGTTTGGAGGAGATCCTCTCTTCGCAAAAACACTGGAAAAATATCATTTTGCTTTCTTGAAAAGTATCCTGTTAATGGCCAGTCGACACCTTCGGAGAGAAAAGCCCCTAATAGCGCGAATTGATGTTCACTCAAGGGGCCCTTGTCCAAATCAGAAGTTTGCGTAAGAATATCTAATGGTGACGGGGTAGAATTTCCTTCAACTTCATAATCACGGCTTCTCTTAGGGTGAAAATTCATAACATGAGATGAACTTGCGTTCGATTCATGGTCTGTGTCGCTATTGCCTTCGCTTGAACCCGAAGAGGATGTTGATGGGGATTGTAATTCTATCTCCAGGGTGTTATCAGAGATAAGTGGGTGAAGCGATGTAAGTATTGGCAGAGGTTTTGGCCTTACTTTCCGTCCTTTTTCTGGAAAGCCAATCGTTGGAATGCCAGATGGAGAGCCGCCCAAGTTAGATGTTATATACCGTTTTCCAGGAGTAAACCAAAATTTTCCATCAATTTTATACTTTTGGTCCGAGGAACACAACCTCGGTTGGAATATGACCGGACTATACTGATTTGGCGCTATACGCAATCTGGAGATATCTGATTTAAATGGCGTCAATCTTAGATTTGTTAATACGTCCGGAGACAAAATTTTCTTGATTTGAACTGGGCTGAGAGGCGGGCTTATTGGTCGTTTCTTTTGGCTATCATCTGTTGAAATGATCTGACTGAGCTCAGTAGTTTCCTTGCATATATGATCCTCATCCGCTGTTGTAATTAAGGAGCTGAAGGCTGGTTGTTTGATTGTGTCATGCTCGGATTTGGTAAGGTGATTTTGATCATTATTTGAGGGGCTAGGTTCTGTTATCGACATGGCAGTATCTGAGCTATCAGGTGCAGTGAAATTAGCTTCGGTATCTTGTTGCACTGCTTCCGGCTCACCAGTTTGCATATCAAGGTCGCCGGTCAACCCAGTAAACTCAGGTTCATCGAAAAAGTTAAAATCGGCCTCCGTGATACCCTTGGTGTCAAAGTTCGCGACATCCATATCACCAAAAAAGTCTTCGTCAGCTGCAGTATCATAAAGGCCTGATCCAATTCCGAGTTCGGATGTTGTCGGATCTAAGCCGGTTGGTAAAAGTTCTGAAGTTCCACGAAAGTACGCTGCAGGCCCAACGGTCTCGTTATAAATTTGTTCACTTTGTGTAGGTGTGTAGTGTAATGTATCAATCGCAGATGTTCCAAGTCCCTCCGATACGATGCCTGCACCCATACCTTGGGCCAACCCACCACCTGGAGGGGTGGGATATACCGCACTCGCAAGCTGTGCTTCCGGCAAGTTAATCACCCTTGCTAAACTCTCTGGCATTTCTGGGTGATCGAGCTTTAGCGGAGATGGTTCTGAGCATTTTTGTTGTTGTTTTTCGAGCTCGCTTGGATCATCTGAAGTTTTATGCTTATCAAATGGCTGTCTGATCGGACATGGTTCTTTAACCCATCTTTCCGCAAGTTGTAATGGGCTCTCAGCTTGGCCGGAGAAGAACTCAGTGGGATTCGCAGGAGCGGTCATCTTAGACCGCGATCTGGTGAAACATAGTTTTAAAGGCCATAAAATTCGGATAAAGGGAGACGATTTTTGGTGATTCCAATTTGATTTGGAAAAAAGAATATATAATTGTCGGTCTAACGCGTTAACTTCGACTTCAACCCACAACTCCGCCTCCGGATCATTTAGCTGCAAGCCAAATATTCTGAGCCATTCAGTCACACATCTCTTCCATTCTCGTTTATCAGCTTTCATTTTGCTAGCTAGAAGTTCAACCTCGTGGGGCGTTGTAGCAATATGACCTGGGGAAACAGTGTTTGATTGAGTTGATTGATATTCGTCAGTCGATATGAGTCTGCACAGTGTCCCAGAGGGCGCAATCCACACATCATCGCTCAAGCGGGCACCGATTATCTCAGATTCTGAGTCACGAAGTAATTGCTCCAAACCAGGTTGCGGGAGGGTGCACAAAGAGATCGCGAGTCTACCTTTCGATGTCACATTAATATCAAGGATGGAAAGAAATGATGTAGACTTCCGGGAAAAGGGTAAATCATCGTCTCCACTTTGATGTCCGTTCTCCTCCAGAGAACTATAGAAAGTTCGAGTTCCGAGTGGAATCACCTTCTGCTGCTTCGTAAAATGGAGTGTAAGAGTTTTGGAAATCGCAGAAATGAACCCTTCATAAAATGCAGAATAGGTGGTAAGGCTTTTCAATTGTGCGTATTCACTACAGTTGATTGTCAGCTTGTTCTGCGTGGCTGCACTCTCAAAAATGCTGGAATCAGGGTCAGAGAGCAGGCGGTGTTTGACCTCTGCTGCTGTGTTAACCCCAGATGCGACATCTAATTCTTAAAATCAGTTGTGTGCCATGTGTGAGATGGAATAGATATGGAAGATTATACTTAAGAAGGTTGCTTTTCCAGCAACAATCAGGTCTTCGTCTGATTTGCCTTTCTCTGAATCCTGCACCAAAGCTTCAAAGTTTGGGTTGGGGGAGAATATCCACAATTCAGATCTATTAGCCAGCTGCGAAACATAACAACCGTCATTTCGCAAGGCAAGTAAGGCACTCCGAACTTCGTTTGAGTTCCTCAGACCTGAGCTCTCCAAGAGGTCAAACTGTGACCCACGCGACTTTGGTGCTACCCTGGAGTAGATTCTCCAGAATATATGGAAAAAGCCATCCTTCCCGTACAAATTAGATAATATAACAACAACAGTAATCTACGATTTGACTTACAAGAACACGGAAGTTAGTGAGCGCGCCGGCCGGGAAATCCATGGGTGGCAAGTCTCCGAAGACCTTTTGGTGGCAGCTTTCAATTGGCCAACAGCATATATAGATTTCCGTAGATTAAGACCATCAGGTCAGGAGGCATATCGAAAATATGATAATAATGTATATGCTAAGCTCAGGCCTAAATATTCCGCGTTGTTGGCTAGCGATTTCTAGTACGATCTGTGCCGTCGCGGTTGATGTTGGATATTGGGGGTTGAAGATGCCAAGCCAGGCAAACAAATGATGACGGAGGCGATCTTTATATAGGACTGGCAAAAGGAATGGTGGATGCGGAAACCCTATGCAAGAGAGGAGCCGGCCCTGAACATGGTCCATTTCTTCCATAGATCCATGAGCCTTGCCCCAGTCAAACCGTTTGATATCGAAACAAATTCCCCAGAAGGTCGATGCTTGGCGTTCGGGAGAGCCTCATCCAGATTAGGCTAGTTCACCGGCTTAGAGTTTCATGCTTGGCGTGTTTGCATCCGAGCCAAACTTTTGTATTCTGACAATTGAAATTGCCGAATTTTTTGACATTTGAAATGAATCGACCGAGCACTTGTTGGATTTGGGGGAGCCATTCAAAATCTCCCAGCCATGAAGCTGTCAAATTCCTCCAGTGTTCCTGTTTACACTATATCCGGTTCCTCAACAGCGCGACCACTCCCCGAATGGCTTGCTAGAAAACGGAAGAGGAGTCTCAAAAACGACCCAGAATACGCAAACAGGGTTGAGCTTCTCCAAGATTTCGAGTTCGAGGAAGCCAGTCAATGTATTCGTGTTAGTGAAGATGGCCAATGGGTCATGAGCACCGGTAGGTCAGGTTTTCTTATTTATACAAAATACCATGTCACTGATTCAATCAACAATAGGTACATATAAACCACAGATACACACGCATTACCTGCCGCATTTATCGCTTTCCTTTGCTCGCCATACTGTTTCCTTGAATACCACATTTTTGTTATTGTCGTCAGATTATTCAAAGTCCTTGCATCTGCAGGCTGATCGATCACTTGAGTTTCATACGCCCTCAGGTTGCCACTACACAACGCGGTTGCCCAGATATGGCCGTGACTTGATATACGACCGACAATCAGCCGAAGCGCTTATACCATCTGTCGGTGTAAATCAGGATGGCATGGGTGAAGTATATAGACTGAATTTAGAACAGGGACGGTACATGAAAGCGTATGAAGTTGAGGTTGGTGGTGATGATTTTTCTTCCGCAGGTGGGGGGGCATTGCAAGGTGGAATTAACACTGGGAGCGTAAACACCGCTGCAATTGCTGAGGAAAGCCATAACCTTCTCGCATTCGGAACATCCATTGGAACTGTGGAATTATGGGATCCCAGAGCTAGAGCCAGGGCTGGCATTTTGTTACCACCCTCGGACTCCCAGCTCGGAGATACTAAATCAGAGATCACGGCCCTTGAATTCCATCGATCCGGATTGACGCTTGCTACTGGGTCCTCTCAAGGTCTTGTACACCTATTCGATCTCCGATCCCCAACCCCTCTCTTAAAAAAAGACCAAGGATACGGGTATCCTATTCACACCATTAATTTTCTCACTTCATCGATTGCAACCCGTGAACAAACCTTGGAACCTAAAATACTAACTTCTGATAAACGGATTATAAAAATATGGGACGCTCGGGATGGAAAACCTTGGACTTCCGTGGAGCCTGCAGTTGATATAAATAGTGTTGCTTGGTGTAAAGACAGTGGTATGCTTTTGACTGCCAACGAAGGGCGACAGCAACATGCATTCTTTATTCCTCAGCTTGGGCCAGCCCCAAAATGGTGTGCCTTCTTGGATAACATTGTGGAAGAAATGGCCGAAAATCCCAATGATCCTCAAGCCTTCGCGGGCCAAGCTGGCTCCGTTTATGACAACTTTAAGTTCTTGACAGTACCACAATTACGAAGCCTCAATCTAGATCATTTGATTGGAAGAACTACGCTCCTACGACCCTACATGCATGGATTCTTCGTCGCGCAAAGATTATACGAGGAGGCGCGATTAATTTCCCATCCATTTGTTTGGGAAGAAGAAAGAGCGAAACGGATCAAGGAGAAAATCGATCAAGAGCGCGAAAGCCGGATCCGAGGCAAAAGGAAGATCTCTGTGAATGTGAATAAGAAACTTGCCGAGAAACTCCTTGAAAAGGAAAACAGGAATGCGCGACGACAAGTTCAACGTGTTCTGGAACATGGCGGTGATGAGGAAATGGGCGATACCGCTGAAGCCGAGCCTTCTCAATCTAGCCGCCCGGATAATCTGCTTAACGATTCTCGATTCGCTAAATTGTTCGAAGATGAAGATTTCGCGGTAGATGAGACATCGAGGGAATTCCGTGAATTAAACTCAAGCACTGCGACAACAACTCCTGCCGTCAGACCAGAGAGGGGATTAACTACTGTCGAAGAGGAGGTTATCGATGAGGTACCCGGATCTAGCTCCGAGGAAGAATCGAGTGCAGATGAGAAGTTTTCCCACGCCAAGTCCTCTGGCCGAATATCTACAGCCTCTTACAAAAAAAGCAAACGTCCTCCCCCGCGAATGCAAGTATCATCGTCATCTAAGACTACTCAGGCGCGCGATAAATCCTTTGAGTCAAAGGTCCACAAGTTGCGAACGAAAGATCGCACCCCCAAGACTACTGCAGTTGGAGAAAAAACAGTCACATTTGCCCCACAGCCAAAGTCTCGCCCGAGGCCTGCAATTGTCCCTGAGAACGGTAATGCCTCGAAACACTCGAAGGATCGCAGAAGTGCATCAGGAAACACGTTCCGTCGAATGTGATCGGATATCCATTCAAGGCATATTCATAATTGCAACACTATTTCCGGCCTGGGATGTAATAGGTAACATGGAGTTAGATTTTCACCTTGGGAGGCAAAACAGTCCTGCGGTGATGGACGTAGCTGATGCTCTGGAAGATACGAGCAGCTTCGCCCCATAATTCTTGCCGTAACACGGCATACACTCCCATCTTCGCCTTGGGTGCCCATGTTCGCGCAATTTCAATTGCGGCATCCAGCATATCTTCCGGTTCGGCTATTTGATCTACAATCCCATCCTCCAGAGCTTCCTTACCTGTCCATTTATGTGCTTCTAGAAGCATCTCTCGCGCAATTTCGGGACGGAGTTTTAGACGTGCTAAATATCCGATTCCAGGAAAGTGGACGCCAATGTTGACGGGTGGCATGGAAAAAAACCCACGGCGAGAGTTCATGACCCGATAATCATGTGCAAGGGCTAGTGGACACGCACCACCAAATGTATGTCCATTCAGCAGTGCTATTGTTGGAAATGGATAATCAAGGAGTGTATGTAAGAGCTAACGCCGAATCTAAGGTTAGTCTGGTTTAATTCGTTCACGGCATTTGTTCGGGAGGTGAGCGAACCGGGAAATATCCGTCTGTATTGGAGAAAGGGTCCCTCTCTGCTTCATCGAGATCCAAGCCCTGTTGCAGTGGTGTACAGCTCATTAGAATTTTTCAATTTAGTAGATGGTGTTAAAATCAAACAATCTATAGCCCATGTTTTCACGCAAAAGGCAAAACCACGAGTTTCCAGGGATTATAAGCTCGATTCCATATGAAAAAGGACTAACCGTACTCCAAAACTTGTTCCCCTGCCCCGTATAATCACCGCTGCCCCAACACCGCCTCCCTGTTCATCCTTACCCGCAGCCTCAACCATACGCTCCACATCTCGCAATGGGCGGATAATCTCTTGCGCGAATAAGGTGGAAATACGATTCTCAGGAGCCTTTCGTAGAGTAATCAGATATATTTGCGGATCGCCCTTTGCTGTCGGTGAGGTAGACGGGTTGTTAGGGATGCGCGAGAGGGTGAGGTTTGTGTAAGGCAATGGTGTGTCTCTTGCGACAGTATTTGGGACGAAGGATTCGGTTGAGCAAGCTGCAAAACTAGAAAATACAAATGATCCAAAACATACAAATTACCGCCCATCCGATGTGAATAGTAGGGGTTAGATTTGAACGTCCAAGTTCTGGTATCCCGATGTTCGCGAGGATCCATGCAAGGCAACGAACCATGTTGGACCTCGGCGCGCCGATCCCCGAAATTTAAATATTTAATATTTCGGCGAAGAACCACTGCATTTCTTCCATAGTCCAACCCTTCAACTTCAACCCTCAGCCTGGCTCAAACTGCAAACCTCGAGTCAAATTTGCAATTGAATATTCTGGCTGCTATCGCCAACACAAATATTTACGACGTGCTCCTGGTATGATCGAGATGATACTTTATCATATACTAGTAGTTGCTATTATTTCAACTAACAGCGTTAACATAGGAATCGGATGCGGATAAATGCAGAAACAGGCCAGAAATCTCATTATTCCACCATATTATGAAAACAGGTATTCATACATCGCATCCCCCGCCAAACTGTTTCTAAGCTTCAACACCAGCTTCCTGTGGAACGGCCACCACAGCATGATGGAGGGATTTCAGTTCCCCTGCCGTCCCGTTGACTTGACTGGGAGCCTTATCTTCGAAAACTTCTAAAGCGTCATGTCCAGGGAATGCCTCGGAAGGAACAGACTTCCCAAGGAATTCACAGAGAGGATCCCATCCGTCTTTGATATCATATATCAACAGCTTATCTTTTGGTACAAGTTGGCAGATCTCATTGAAATGGGTCTTGAATGCTGCCTTTCCCGTCTTTATGAAATCGCTTTGAAAGAAGGCATATAAAATTTTATTCCTCAACATTTTCGCTGCTACCTTCTGCTCGTCTTCGGGTTCAAGATTCACTTCGCCTTGCTCTTGTTCTCTCGCCATCCTGGTTTTGATGAACCTGATCCAGGACCTTGGGTACGGAAGTCAGCAGTGTCGCCTCAGCGCGGAGAGCTCTCCAAGCAGATGATGATCTCAAAGTGCTAGGAAAAGAAAACCGAAGGTTAACTTACATATACCATTCGTCAACATCACGCGTGTTCAGGATCACCTTTGCCTCCGGATATGCCTTGATCAACTGTGGTGCAAAAGCACAACAGGGGCGTCCAACAACAGCCTAGTTACAGCAACTCAGCGTCAGAAGAGCAAAGCAGCAAGCGTTCTACGGTGGTGTCTGCCTCTCACCTGGCAACCTGCGAACAAGCGATCAAAGTCCCCCTTTTTAAAAGTCCCCTTTCCTTCAAATACTGCATCGAATGCATCCAACCATGCTTGCGTATCTCGTGATCGGTCATTGACAGAGGACGGGAAGTAGTAAGTTTCATGATACCCTAGCATTCCCAGTGCGGCTTGGATGGCTGGTACAAAGAGTCTTTGTTAGCGAAACGACTACATTCAAGAACACGATGGTATCCACCCACAGCTTGCCCCTGCTCTAGGAGGACCAAGGCAGAGCACTTTGACAGGCGCGACCACCGCAGAACGACTCGGACCGCCATTGCCTGTAGCATAACCCTCACTCCCGTTCATTGTTGATGGGGTTGAATCTTCAAGGGAATATGGTAAAGATGCTCTTTCTATGATCTTTATTATAGATTGTTGATTTGATCCTGGTTGATATTTGAGGGACGACACAAGGTGGTTAGTTTGATCCTAGTTGTTTTAAAAAACAAAATAAGTGGGGAGATAGAAAATATTTATGCCCAGAGTAATATGGGCATCAGCTTGCGGAACAAATTGCTGCGAACGCCGTACAGGTTATATTGCGCGTGCTCCCCAACCTTGATGCTCCTAGGCATTTTAGCGGCGAGTTTATTTCGACCGTTGCAAATTAAAACGGGACAAGGATTGATGACTCCATCGGTGAGATATCTTTCAGTGTTTTGTCACTTCGACTTCCATTCCATGTACCACGCTGCCACGCTACATGTGAATATTTTTACTTCATATACGGCTCGGGATCAAATTCGGCCAAAGGATGCACTGCTGCATCAATGCTGTTGTATAAGTAAATGGCGACTCCATCCGATACGCATGTGCTCGTTGTTCCACTCATGCCTCTATTTTGGCTGAACGGTCAAAAATTTTAGTGGATTTGGGCGGAAACTTGAAATGGCCTCAAAGGCTGTGAGACTGACGACTGGACCTGTTTTGGCTGCGGCGCACATTACCAATGCCGTTAGAGAAGGCCGGGCCAAGATGCACTCCACAGGGTTTCATTTCTACCTGGGCGTCGACCAATAATTCTATCACATCTTCCAAGCCAGCCACTCTTGGTATAGCTTCTAGCCGATAAAGATTTCGTATTTACTCCCAGTGATGATTTATGCGCAAGCGAGGAATGCATCGTGAAACAGGCAGGCTTCTTCTAGCTTATTACGACATACAGAATCCATTCCGCGAAGAATAAAGTCCTTTTGCTCCGGGTGGCCCTGGCAAAGGTCAAAGGGGGTTTTGAGGATGCTGCTAGCAGCGCCACGTTTCCTGTTTTGCCAAAGAATTTATCACACCCCTGATAGAGTGACATTTTTAGCTGGCGCCATATCTGGCGCGAACACTTGAACTTTCTACTATGTGCGGAGTCCGTACGTGATTCAGGTCAGGCCCTGGTCAAAAGTTGGTGTTGAGCGCTGTTCAACTTGAATGTCACTAAAACAACACACATCATTATTAGTCATTTTTGAGGGGGGATTGGTTTTCTATGGTTTTTCCTGCACTAGCCCCCTATAAACCCCCCTAACTAACGCCTGATCTGGTGGTGGGAGATCGTGTGGGAGGATTAATAATGATGAGAGTGGGTGTGTTTTAGACGCCGAGGTTCAAAAGTTCGCTGTGGCTCGAAATTCCCTGGCCCAAATTTGAACGCCGTTCAACTGCAACCCGCAACTATGGATCTGGCCAGTGCAAGGTCCATATCAGCAGCAAGGGTATCTTCACAACGTTGTGCTAATGTGGAATCCCGGACATCACGGTCGGGTCGAGGAAAGATAAAATCAAAAGTGAAGTAACTAACCACCTTCTGAGTTGATAGGCCCCATCACGAAATCAGATATGCAATGCAGCAATCCGCGAATCTTAGGAATGGCCCGACCTGTCCAATACCGCTTTGGGAAATTTTCGATAGAACCGGCGCATCGAAGTCGGTCTTGAGCGTCGAACGTGGGGAAACCTGGAACGAATTGTCATAGTTCAACTCCCCCTGTACACTGGGATTGGCCATATGTTGCAACGTCTAGGTTCCGGGTCGCCGTGCTATTTTGTTTCCGACACCCGAGGAGGATCGAGCGAAATAGAAACGCCTCAACGATGGAAGTCGTACCGAAGACGCAGCTGCCAGTTGGTGGCCGGAAACACACAGTCACGAATAAATGAGAACCCTGTCTCCCGTTGCAATGCATCCGACACTGTACAGGTCCATATATATGTAATACCGGATGCTTCTAGATCGTGATATTGACCACGAAGCATCGCGGGAAAACTAAGTAACCTCAATCGAGAAGGCCAATTTCGAACCGACAATACTCCTCCATACCTTGCGGTTTCTTTTCTTTTCTTTTCTTTCTTTCTTTTTTTTCTTTTCTTTTCTTTTTTTTTTTACAACATCCACTACTTTGTTTTTGCCCACAAAGAAACACGGCGTCTCACGCATCCAGGCTCTACCTAATCTGTTACACCTTCAGAGTGCTGAATAAGTTCCGAATCAACTCCTCTTGCTGTCCTGTCTGCATAGGCACAGGCCCTGTTACATTTTTCAAATCAAACCACCTTTTGTGACAGTTTACGTAATTGTTTTGCATGGCAACTAACTAACTATGATTGCTTGTGCAAATGCGTGGATAACATTCACAATGACACCAACATGACTTTAATCAAGTTAAAAGACTTGGAGGTTCAGCTGGTATCATTGATCATAGCGCCCGATACAGCATCTCTCCAACTCTCAATGACTCGATTCTTTCTCTCAAAACCATCGTCCACTATTACTCTAATCACCAGTTTACCAGTTACAATAGTAAGAGCCGTTTCCGGGATTTAATAAGGTAAGTAGCCGAAACCTTCTAGGCCCTGATTATGGAGACACCTAATACAGGAAGTTATAACATTGTTAGGAGAGAGGGAAAGCCGGATACAGATGGGCACGAAAACGGCACATCCGCACGTTGCAGTGTCTTAGGGCTCACGCCGGAAGTGGTGATCCAATGCCTTGTCACACAGATCATTTATTCGACGCCGTTGATTCCAAATCGTGGGTGGCTCCTGTGATAGCACAAACTGCGGGACACGGGTGCTCAACGACTTTTCCAGGCTTGCCTGGTGGAATAGTGTTTCCAAACAGCATTCTGGAGTGGTCAGATCCTGCGTCAAAATGAATAAATGATTTTATCCTTGCTGTGCAAACCAGCGCAAGGCCTGTGTCAACGAACACGACAGATGATTCTGCGCTGTTAACCCCCAAATCAGGTTTCGAGTGTGGCGTGTGGCGTGTGGCGTGTGGCAATGGTATCAGGCTCTGTCTCATTCTGCCTCTCTTGGACGCTGAGATGCGGAATGTAGAGGGACGTCTAAGAAGTCCAAATGAAGCGGGTGCCAGGTTCTATCAAACTATTGGTGGGAATGGTAAGATGGTGTCCCGCCCGTTTCCATGCTTAGTGTTTCGTGTACTTGTTGCCAAGTACCTTCAAGATGCTCAGTCACTCTCCCAGCCATTCCGCTCCAGAAACTCCGCCGTCGTGCTGGCGGAATGTGGGCATGGAAGCACGTCCCGATACAAAAGGACAGGTAGGGAAGTGTTGGGGCAAGTACTTGGTGGGTTGCAGGTAGAATCTTTCTACGGGCTGTTGCGTTCTGGGGTTGGACATGATTATCTGTCTGGCTGTGGGAAGTTCCGGATGTGATAAGCTATATGGTGAAGATGAAGTCGGAACAGATATGAAATGTGTAACGGTGGGCAGGTCTATTGAAGAAACAATAAGTAACATTAATCGGATAACCCGCGCCTGCACTCGGCGGTACCCTTGATGCAACAGAGATAAGAATCTAGAGCAGCTTACTACATCCCTGGAGCTAATTCTGTTCAGTGTGTGGAATAGTGCGGTGTCTCTGGCAAACGCCGGGACAAGGTGGACGAAATGGCCATTCGGAATTAGGTATGGGTCCTGGTTAGAACAGGTTATTTGGCCCAACAAGATATAAAAAGGAAGCACTTTTCTGAACACGAGAACTAAATTTATACTCCAGACCTTAGCTGAAGATGGAGGGAGCTTTATCATTGATGGTTTCAGAAGACAATGTTCGATGGACATGTATACTTTCATATGCCTCCCCAGAAGTAAAAATTGAGCAAAGGTTGTGAAGGTAGATGGATATATTTCAAAGGGGTATATCTATTATCCAAGCTCTGGATGCCAATGCTTTTTTCAGAGGGGTGAAACAATAAGGACAAAGTGGAGAAAAATAAAAGAACATGAGGAAAGAGAGATTCTGACCCGAAAATATAAAAATAAAAATAAAAGGCTAACTCCAAGCCCTTTGATGAGAATATATTTACATATCTTGAACATTAGGTAGATGGTTAGATGGAGTATCACGCCATCCAAAAAAAAAAATCATTTCCGAAGATCACACATCAAGTCAAATACAAAGTGGGAAAAAAAACACCAGGCAGCAACGACGATATGTAATAAGTGAGGAACTTAAAAAAGGAAAGCTGAAATCAGACAGAAAAGACATATATATCCAAATTTTGCGCCTTGTAGGCTTGAACTTATCATCTTCATTTCCATCTCCCTCTCCAATATCAGAGAGTGATCTCAAATATATGTGTGTATGTAAAAAATAGAGACAATACGGGACTATCACAAAAATCAGGAAATCAAAAAAACACAGTTTGAATCGAGAGAGAGGGCCAGGGGAGGCCAAATAGAAAGAGTGAGAGTTTTAAATGAGAAAGAAAGGAAAGAAAAAAAAAGTATGTGATTATTAAAACAAACACACACAATGAAGAAAATAAAAGCGCCGCTTGTTAACTTGTGATACTGGAAAAAAAAAAAAAAATAAATAAATAAAAGACTTCTAGGCACCTAGGTAGTCTGCAAAAGAAAATGAAGTGAAATAAAAATAAAAATAAAAAATGAAGTGAAAAATGGAAATATGAAAATGAAAATATGATGAAAATCACCGAATGAATAAGCCAAAGGGAGGCCTCCAAATTGCACAGAATGGATGATTATATCGGAGATATAATGAAAAATGGGAATCGGGGTAGTAGTTTGATGCGAAGTGTCATGGAGCAGAGATCATGTAGCTGAATGCTTGCGTCTTAACTATATGCACGAGGGACGGCTGAAGATCCAAATTGAGTTCGGTGATAAAGGGTTTGTGGTTGGTTAGGTGGCGGGGGGTATTGAATCTTGTAAATAATAAATAACCCAGGTGTGTACTAACAGGGGAATCCTGGTTTAACGGGGATGTGGCATAAAACCTATTTCGTTTCCCAGTCGAGCTCATGACAGCGTTTCTGAAAATGGTTCACCCCAGCCATACCGGGACATCCTGTATATCCTCAAACTTTTTTCTTTCGTTTTTATTGTCAATTATTGCCAAGGATGATACCCGCCGCTGCTAGAGGCTCCCCGCCGTCCACTTCCACGTCTCGATCCGCTCGTCCCAGTACCAGGCCCAGATGAATCGGCTCCACTTACGCTGGCTCGCGCCCCACCGTCTAGGCTACCACGTGCAATACCAAAATCGCTCATGGTAAAGAGCAACGGCTCATCCTCTTCAAAATTGCTTGATGGTGGCCCATGGTGACGGGAGAAACCGAACTTGTGCCCAGCACCGCCACTGCCCATTCCACGGCGCGAGTCTGTATTTGTGGACATTCCGCTGTTGCTACCGCTGCCTTGGTAGGTGTCACGATCACGCTCGGCCCCATGAGATGAGGGAAGGGCATTTCCGCGCCCTAGACTGCTGGATGCTGAGCTGTGCGAGTGAGAATGTCCTGTAGAGCCTCTGCCACGCTGATGAGAGAATCGAGGGTGATAGGGGTGGTTAGAAGCGGTGCTGGGAGCACGGTACTTGGCTGAGGTGGAAGCGTCGTCGGGGTTGTTTGAGTCGCCGCTTGCTGGTTGGTTGTTTCGAAGCAAATCGGGTGCAGTGGATTCACTGTCCAGCTCTTGCTGCCGCACTAGCGCGCTCAGACTGAGGGGTGATCTATCTCCCGCTCCGAGACTTAGGCTTCGCATTCCGAAAGGTAGGAAATCACTTGTCTCATCCTCAAGAGCTGCATTGGACGTTCTTTGAGCGGCAAAACTGGAGCGCCGGTAGTTGGGAATGAATGGGCGGGGGGATGTGGGGATGTCGATTGCGTTGACATTGGACCTTGGAACTGCAGGGCCCATCGTGGTTTCTTCAGTAGAAGGTTCCTCCAGAAGGGACCCATGGGATTCATGAGAGATACGATGGCGTCGATTGTCTGGGCGATCTTGGTGGGAGTAGTCGATGATACTGTTCGAGCTAAGACGGGATGGAATTGCGGGTGTATGAGGCGTATGCGGTGAAATTGGTTTTCCTGGAGATGAAGATGTCGAGATCGATGTGCCAGCAACCATTGGTGGAACGCTGGTGAATTGTCTACTTGACGAAGTGGACGACCGCTGGAGGATAAATGAAGAGGACATGGAATCAGACAATACTGCGTTTGACTCCTTCATCTTTTGAAACCGCGTGAGAGCAACCGCAGTCCTCCGAGTTGACGCATCTACCAGCGCGGGATCGGAGGGGTTCAGCAGGTCTTTTCGCATGTCAAGCATTTTGAGGAACTCTCCAATATTACTTTCATCTCCATGTAGTGAGCCAGAGCTGGCGCCTGGCTCCGCAATTATTCCGGAGCTAGGATGGGCAGTGGACGAGGTAGCACTGGCCCTCCCGCTCGAGCCGTTATCATCATCTGTCTTGCTTATTCCACCATATGACAATCTCCCTCTTCGATGAGTAAAAGAACTGGTGAATTTGGAGATAGGGGCAGGTCGAGGGGAGCCAGACCCGGACGAGGCAATGGCGTTGTCAGAGGAAACGTAGGTAGATCTCCGTGAGACAGAAGCAGCACTAGCAGGAGGAGGCATGGTCTTGTTATCAGATGGGACGTTCACTGGCACTGTTCGACCGGGTGCATTCCGGGGAGATCCAACGGCAGGGTCTACAAGCGACGGGGACGCGGAAAGAGGTGGGGCTTTGAAAGGAGGAAATGAAATCGAGGGTTTTCTTTGGGCAGAGCGGACAACATCTCGGGGGCGGATACCTGGCTTTCCTTGGCCAGGTTTGGGAGAAGGGGGTGATATCGGGGATCCCGGCGACTCAGCTCCAAGCTCTCTGGCAGCGCGAAGAGCTGAGAGTGGGCTGGCCCCGGTTGCAGGAATTGCATGATGAAAAGTGGATAAACTACCATAGGCCTGGGCATTGTTTGGTGGATCATTTGCTCGCCTGGTAACGGGTAGAGATCCAGCCTCTTGTGGTCCGCTAGGGAAGTGATCTTCAGTGGGAAGGGAGGGTCTAAAGTATGTGTCATCGGCGCCCATGAACCTCGAACTCAACAACGTTTCGGAGTCATCCACCCTAAAGTCACAGTTCGTTCGATATGTTACTTGAACCGAAAACTGGCCTGCAGGAGACTCAGTGACACCAAAGGAGAAAGTCTCCGTAGTTTTACCACCACCATCGTAGAACGGGACGCTCAAAGGGTCGAGCTCCTGATGGGTTTCTGGTCGGGATCCCTTGAATATTCTATACCGGATTGGCAGGCTCGGATTCGATCGCATTGTTGATTGCCGTTTGGAAAATTTCCAAGCAGGGAGGAAGCGGGAATACGTAAAAAGAGATCTAAACAGTACGATGCTTTTCTTGTAGACAGTTGGGAGTATAGAGCCGAGATCGGCGGGCAGATCGCCTGCTGCATCCCCCAGTTCAACTTGCCATCTTTCTAGAATGACTCTACTATATCTAGTATCCCGAGAACCTTTGTAAGAAAACGAGGCATCAAGAGCTTCGAGAACATCCCAGCGTTTCCCACGATCATCAAGAATCACAAGGCTCTGGTTGTGTGTCAACTCGTCCGAATCAAGGTAGGTTTCAATCACCATCGGCGGAGGACGGCGGTCGACAGTGTCACAGGACTTCCACGTTCGGAGATCATCTCTTAGAACATCGGTTTCGTCGAGTTCAACGTTAAACTATACCATTGGAGTCCACTCGTTATTGCGTTGTTTGCCAATTGAGACGTCATAGTGGCAACCCAAAAAAAAGAAAGGAAAAAAAAAACACCTATCAAATAAATTGATAAACACGTACCCATCTGTTCACCCTTTTCATATCCGAATCTTTGTTGTACGCAGGGGGTAGCTCGACTCGAGAGTGCAGAATGATCAAAGCAGCCTTCGTATGATATTGCTATGATAAAGAAGAAGAAAAGCATGAAATTCAGCATCTACACATCCACTATGTCAAGAGTAAAATAAACCAGTACAGCAAACTTACTTGAACAATTTGGTTTAACTTGGCGATGATATCCCGACCAGGAGCTACATTTGATGGGACCTGCACGAACATTTCAGCGTCATGTTCAATCCCAAGTCCTGTTGTCAAGTTTGCGGGACCAACCTCAGCCTGTGATGTATTCGCCTCTGCAATTCGATCTTGAGGGTTGGTTGGGCGAGCTGGGTTGGTCCTGGAAGAGCTAGCAGCGGACGACGCCGTTGCTGGCGGTGGACGAGGATGTTGATGCATTTTTTTTTTTTTTTTGTTTTTGGTTTTTGGTATCGACAAGATAGAATCTCAAAGCTTGAAGTTACCGAAGTTGGCCCTTCAAGGTCCTCAGGATATCTTGATTGATTGGCGTTGCTAAAGACAGGGGGATTGTTGTCCGTCGAGGG